AAAGTGGTCTTTAACAAACTTGTAGCTGAGAAAATTTTCAACAAGCTCAGTTATCATTTTTAAAGTAGAGTGAACTAGTGAATTTTGAGATAGATATGAACCGAAATTATGGTTTCCCAATAGTAATTTCCATATAACCTTCAAATGGTTTGTGCCAAGTCAGGTTCTTACTAAATAAGTTCAAATTTTGGGAGGCTAATCAGGGCCTAATTTGGAACCGTTTGAGCGCTGTGGAGTGAAAATTTCAAAAAAACAAATCTACTGGACATGTGCCCCACATTTGGAAGGAATCCGTAGTGGTTCCTATTTAAAAACTTGCTGTAACGATTAAAGCCGAAGAGTTTCGTCCCATTCTAACAAGTACGCTTTCCATTTATAACTAACTATATTTATTTGTACAGAATTCATATTTATACAATTCACTTATGTAATCAAATTGCACGAAGTTGCGATTTTACAATTGAATTCATATATTTGGAATGTCCACTCATGTAGAACTACACTTGTCATACAAATATCAATGAGTTCCCAATTGGCAAGTCAAAGTTGGCACTCGTGGAGAATAGAAGAACTATGAAAGTAATGATGGTTTCAAAATTTTACACGGTGAGGTATACGAGTGCAATCTTAAAATGCTTTTATTTGGCAAATGGAGCATTTTATTTAAATCTGGTAAGTGGTACGCTAGTAGAAAACTTAAGAACTTCTGTTAATGAAGAAAAAATAATTTCTTTTCCGATTTGTATGTGTATACATAGATTTCAGCTTTTCTACAACTGTAGCAGCAACCAGATTTAAATAAAATGCTCCATTTGCGAAATAAAAGCATTTTAAGATTGCGCTCGTATACCTCCCCGTGGAAAATTTTGAAACCATCATCACTCTCATAGTTCTTCTATTCTCCACGAGTGCCAACTTTGATTTGCCAATACGTTCAGCTAATTCATTTTATGTTACCCGAATGCGCTATCTGTCGTTAAAGTCGGAGGTTCGAATCCGAACCGTTCTCTCTTATAAAAGAGTAACCGAAAATAGATTGGAGCAAGATGGTATACTGAAATTGCATGACAAGGAAAGAGATGTAGCATTGAATGTTCTTCGTTGAATTACTTCGGTAATTTGACGCACTTCCGGCCACGATGACCTATCTGAGGGTATCTGGAACTTCTACTCGAGCACTTTGACTTGAACCGTGGAAGTGGGAGTGGGAGTGCGAGTAATAAGTACTTAAGTGTACTTAGTGTCGCGGTGTGTTTTCGTGCCTGTAGAGTATAAACGATAGGTCATAAGTTACGTGCAAAGTGTGTAGAAAGCCGTTCGACGGTTTTTTGTGCAGGATCGGTTTTTGTGTGGAAGTTTGCACCGCATACATGGCTTTGCTCGGCACACCGCACACCGCACCCATGAGATTTGATTGCACTCTCTAGACCCCACGCTTCAGAGTCAAGGTTCCCGGTTTGGGGAAGAATCCGGAACGGAGACACCGTGACCCTGTTCTCCGACAGAGCGTTGGCCAAATATGCAAATATCCACCACGTGAACTCACGTTTTGTATTCATAGACGACGACCCCCTTGTCGATATTTGCGCCACCGGCAATCGGCGCTACTTCAGCAATGCTGAATAGGGTGCTACTTTGCCGATCTCACTTCGACAAAGGGATGCTACTTTGCCAACGCAGGTAAAGCAGCGACGACATCGATGGTACCGTGAGTAAACAAGCGCATGCAAACCTCCTCACATACATGAGCTGCTTGATCATGTCATAAGTTTACCAATCTCTTAAATAATTAATATTTTTTTCCTGTTTTACATAGAAACAATCTTTAGCAAAGTTGTAGCTGAGAAAATTTTCTATAAGAATAGCTATCGAACTGTTTTGCAGCTCAATATGGAAAAAGACTCGAAGGCAATGAACAAAAACTTGAGATTTCCCATAGTAATTTACATGTAAACTTCAAATGGCTTGTGCGAAGTCTGTTTCTAACCAAATGAGTTGTAACTTTGAGAGGCTAATCAGGACCCTATTTGAAACCATCACGAGTCAGCCATCGTTGGACCTGCAAGCCACGTCGGCTCTCAAGAAAGAACGTTCTGTGTGCAAATGTTAAAAAATCGAGGTCGTAGCCATTCGCCAAGGCTGTAAATAATTGTACCAATCTGTAAATATAAATAAATTAGAAGTTAGGTGCCTTTAGTCCGTAGTTTTTGTTTTACAATCTTTCGCGAATTAAATCATTTGAAAAAACCCTGAATTTTGCATTTCTTAATTAAATAGTTTGGAAAATAAGTTAGAATTAGGTTCGATTAATTTCTATTGTTAAGATTTGGTCGTCTGAATATGATTTTGCGTGAACGACAACGCGTCACCATTATATAACTCGAATTTTGTTTGGAAGATTCTTTTTGAGCACTTCTCTTTAGTTCTGCTAAGTTTCTTTTACTATATAAGTTAACAGCGGTAGCCTACATTTTCCAACAACACAAACACCCGTGACCAAGGAACAGCTCATCAGCATCATAAACAAATTGCTGGCTTAAGCATATTCAACATCGGCACCATCAAACCATCGTGGACACCTGACAACAACAGCAACTAGCCTCGAGTGAACCTCGGACTTGCAGACGCAGCACTTGGCAACAACAACGACATAGGACAACGACACGGACTATGGCCCCCGCTACATGGGTAGAGAAATGCAACGTTAGGACTTTTAGGGCCACTTGGTAGGTTTCAATTAATTTGGATCGATTAATAAAGCTTAGTCTCAATTGTACCTTCTTTTTAAAAACATCGTTTGAAGAATCCGTTTATTAATTTATATTTTATTGGTTTGAAATTGTTTTCCTTTTACTGCCTGGGTTGGTTTCGATTGTTGGGCTAGGAGAAAATTCGAGTGAGTTGGGAAAAACAACCTGCCCGGAGTGAAGAGTCTTTGGCCGGACATAAACTGACCCTTTATTTTGAAGGTGGCTCTTAACCTACTGGTCACATGTAACCATCCACTTTCGTTTCCATAGTTCAGCTCGGGAGAACATTCGGGGTTACATTTCATTTGGCCATAGATTGACGTGCAGCCACTTTGATGTGATATTAAAAATATTTCTTTGCTGTGTACTAGGAACGCGTATGAAATAAGAACACCACATTTCTTGACTTGTGCTTCACAGACTTCATTGTATTTTAAAGGAATAAATGTTTTCAATTTGATGCCTAGATGTATTAATCGTGTAAGAACACTGGCAGAATTTAAGAAACATTGCATTTCACACGGTAAAACTGTTTTTTGAACAGTTTTCCAGTGATTTTTTTTATGAATTGATGAATTATGCATCTTGACGAAATTACCTACAACGAATTATTTTGATTTTGTATGTATAGCTGTCATAACGACTTTTCTATAATTATTGTATAATTAAGATGGATTTTTGATATTTTATTTAATAGTAGAAGATTAAAAAAGTAGTCTACAAAGGATTGAGTCTCACGCTCGTATTACGGATATAGAGGACTGAATTTAACATTTGATTAAAAAAAACAACTTTGAAGCTTATTTCAAAGATACCTAGAGTTGGTAGTAAGTTTTCTGTCAAATACTTTTGAATATTTTAGGTGGACAAAAAGCGAACTAAAAGGTGGGCGCCAAAGTTTTTTCACATTTATATCGCTGTAAACTCTACAGTGAATTTATATCTGTTATTGTAACCAGTTCGTTTTTGTTTACTAACCTGGTTAAAATTTCACATTTAATTATCTTAAAGATAGATCGTCCAGCTCAAACCTTTGTAGGGCTAAAGAGCAACAATGTATGCAATTTAGCAAGCAAGCTTATTTTCCGCAAATGACTTGTGAGATGTAGTTTATGTTGACGATAATTTCAAGTTAAGGTTGTTCAAATAACAACGTCTGTTTGTGTGTGATTTAATAATCAATTCAGCCTAATGGTTTTCGACCCGATGGACCAACAGCGTGCAAAGATAGGGTACTCTAAAATCAGTAAATGGAAGATCTTCATTAGGGGGATCCAAGAACTGTGATAGTCGAGTATTAGTACAAGACAATGAAGAAGTCTGCACATTGTAGACGAAATACGTGAGTTGGCAACAGTGCCATCTGGTAGACCAACGTGTGCCAAGTCCACATCGAGTGTCAACGACCCAAGTAACATTGCAAGTATTATCGTGGCTTCGAAGCACCCTGCAAGTCTAAATCATGGTCATCAGAATCCACATAAAACCGAAGACATCATATCAAGATAGAAAAATGTGCAAATACACAAATCTTTCTTCTGAGGATGTAATCTTTACTATCAAATTCGTTCGAAGCATTTACCTTTGAGCGGCAGATGACGCGATTGTTCCTGTCTCAGAGCATTCGTATGAGAAAATGGAAGAGTCTTCTTGATTTGTTGTCTTCGATAAAACCCAAATTATTCCTTGGGAAGTGTCAGCAGAATTCAAGGGACCCGGAAACTAACGAATCAGCAACATGGGCATGCTGGCATCAAACATAAGGTGCTGACAGGGCAGCACCGGTCATCGGTTAGTTGTACAAATAAAATTGGTAGCAATAAATCAGTTGAATTTTAACTATGATTGTGAATATAGCTTTTTTTAAACAGAACTTAGGCTTCCAAAAAGATTAACTCACGTATCTGTACCCCTCTCACCTTTCATCAGGTTTTTTTTTTTCTAATCTTAATACATTGCGTATCGCAGAACTCTTAAACCTCCCCTCCCCCCTTATTGTATGACGTTGACTCACACTGTCGAATTTTTTTTTTTTTTCACGATTTGGGACCTCTAATTGTCACCAACCAAAAGCAATAAATGTTTACCGAAAAAAAATCCACGCTCTTCAATTTAAAACATAATCAATCCTTAGACATGAAACATTCCATTTGGTGGAAAATTATAATTTAATTGTTAATGCAATATGTATTTGAGTGAAAATTTACGCACGTTTGATTTCAAACAATACTTTAAACTTCCAAATCAAGATTAATTCGCCTTTGATTTCTCAATTACAAACAGCGGTGCGATGAACGGTGCGCTCGGCTGAGTCTGCTTGGTCCAGTAGAACCTCAGAATGGTAAAGGGACGAATCGAACAGAAGTAGATAATCTCCGCCAGACTCAGCAGGCTGACGCCCATAAACAATCCCAGCAGGCCACCGCAGTTGGCCAGGAAGTCCGTCACACCATACAGCTCACTGCGTTTGGAGGTTATAAACTGTGCCTCCTTGAAGTAGATTTTGAGACGGGCCAGTTGGATTCTGTAATTGATTTCAATTAGTGACTAATGTGGTTGTTATTAATTTGGCAATTACCCAGGAAACTCATCCTGAGGGCTCTTGTATGCCAAGAATAGATCCCTCCAGTTAAAATCCGCCTGCGATATCTCCGCATCATACTGTACCGATGTGCACGACGGCAGACAGTCACATTTAGCCCGAAAATCGTAGCTCGAGTTCACACTGTGCTTCACGTCGTGGCTCAGCAGCTCGTTTTCGGCTGCATTGTAGCATTCAATCTGGCTGGATCCGCAGATTTCCGTCCGGTCGTCATGGGGCATCGAAAATTTCACACATCCACAAGCCAGCCGAGTGTAATTGGTGATACATTCCAGTTCGCAGTTCTGCTGCGTGTACACTTTGAAGAACTTAAGCCAACGTTCATAGTTGAAATAGCACTGCCGACTTTGAAAGAAAGGTGATATGGGAAATTGTGAATACGCGGATGGAGATGAAGATGAATTGAGTCAGAATTATGTTTACCGATGCGGAGCATAATCGCGCAAACCTTCGGAAGTGGTTATCATCTCCGGCTTAACCGAGATGATTACCTCTTGATGGAGTGGAACTCGGAAGTACTGATTGGAAACCTGAGGATACTCCCCGGACGTGTGTAGTAGAACTTTGAATCCTTGTACGGGACCCTAATCAATGGAATATTTAATAAAACAACGATTAAAGGAATTACACTTTGAAACTTACTCGACAAATATAGTCCAAATCGTATTCATGCAATCTCAGTAGAATGTTTAAACCGGCTCGAGCACCTGCTCCAAGCACCCTCACAGGGTAGGTATCGATATCCGCATCGTCACGGTAACCACTTTCCAGGGTCCACTGAGTTGACGATCTGTTCTCCTGAAGATACGGATAATCATCATGTAGTTCCTCTAGTCTAAACAAATCATCCGCCGCCAATGAATTGAATGTATAGCAAATCCCTTCCTCTGTCAGTGTTTCCGTAAACCTATCATCGCACATAATTTCTTTATTGCGCCATTTACAATACATCAGCATCTCGTTTTTGGAAACGGATACATTCTTCAACCAATTCACGCATTCATGATCGATCGTCTGATTCAGCGGAATGTTTTCCGTGATATGTGGGTCACAAACTTGAGACACTGCCCGAAACCGATCCCAACTGAAAAAAAAATCATGCTCATCCTTAGAACTGAAATACTTCTAAAACAATATCAAATCACCTTTCCGTGGTCACTTGCTCCCTGTCGGTTTCGTTCTTAATTTGATGAAACATGGTAGTGAAATTTAAATATTCTGCCTTGGCTTTCGTTTCGGGACAAATGGTAACCGCGGGGAATGGAATCTGCCAAACCGGAGTGCTCTTCTCGTTGAAACTCACAATCACCGGTGTTTGATCCCACTTGCGATAGATGTTCTGAATCAACCGGCTGCAACCGTACACCGAAATGAGGAACGTCACCACCCACCAGATCCTGAAACACAAACATCCCGTTCAGATTACCAGCACTTTAGGATTTCACAACTGGCCATATATTACTTTTCGCAGAGTGTACGTCGCTTGCAGCCAAAGTATTTAACTCCATGGATTGTGCTGTTTGCGCAATACTCCAGGAACAAACTCTTCAACCCGTGGCAGAATCTTCGATTATCGATGTCGTTGATTGCTTTCAGCTCAAAATTACTCACCGAACGCGAATCAACACCGTTTTTGATCATTGTTCCAAAGAATCGTGTCCAGCACCGACAAAAGGGATACTCCAACTAACAAGAACGTAACTGTGAAGCCGTAGTTTTATGCCTAATCTTCATTAATATTAAAATTACCAGATGAACTTAGCGAGTTCCATTACAGCATGAGTTACACCAGTGGGATTGACTCCACCTAGCCGCCGCACAGTGGACACCGTCCATACATATCTCGGACAAAAATCCAAAAGTTGTCTGAATTTGATGGAAAGTTCATTTTATAGTGGTTTTAAAATGCTGCGTCCGTTTTTGATGTTTGTACTTTAAGTGGCGATCCATAGAGTTCGTCACGCTATATTGAGGGAAAATCATGCCTCCTCTCCCCCTTTAAATGCATTTTGCCTAGACTTAATGCATTGTTTGTCACCGATTCTTCATGTCCCCCTCCCCCCTTAGAGTGTGACGTACTTAATGGACGCCCCCTCATCACCTTACTTGAAACCGCTGGAAAAACGGTTTTTCGATCAGAAACGCGCAAGTACGGGTGAGTCATATACAATATGTACGTATGTATGTTTATACTAATAGACCGAGTGAAGCATCTTCAGATTTTCCACATATTCGAGAAGTTTTTCCTGGAAAAGCCAGGAAAATTCTTACTAAAAAGTGAGCAGATCCACTTTCGACAAAAGTGAGTAACGTGCGCATGGTCGAAAACAGCTTTTTGCCATCTCATCCGTGCACATTACTGAACCATTTAACTACAGATATGTGAGCAAGCAAGATACAGATTAGTGGGTAAACAAAGAATCGATTTATCTCCATGTGCTAGACAGAGAGAGACGATTAAACGTCAAAATGGTCTATGAGGAGTGAGTAGCTTTTATTCACCTGGTGAGTAGCTTTTTTTGTCCGTGAAGAGTACAGCCCAAGTAGCAATTTGGGTTTTATGAGGGTTCTGTAGACCATGATTTAGACTTATAGTATGCTATAAAACCTCAATAAAACTTGCAATGTTGCTTGGGAGTGCAGCCCTTTTAAAAAATGTGGTGATTCTGATAAACTTCTTCGAAAATCAAAACATGTATGTTTTCCGGTGTGTTGCATCCGCTGACCGGATTTAGATTGATTGAATTTAAAACTACTGAAAATGAATTCCCAAGCACCAGGTAAAAAGTCATGATTTGAAACTATATTTGGAAACACAATAGTTAAACTCTTTTCATTGTTATATAAATTTTCTTAAAAAGAAAAGACATACTAGGTGGTTTACACGTTCTGGGCAGTTGCGAGGAAAAGTTCAGATCAATTCGCGAATACATAACGAGACATGTGGAAATAATTTATCAGGATGTCGATGTTACAATCGGCGCTTTGTATCGCGAATACCTATGTCGCTGGAACAATGCAAAACGAATGAATGAACGATTTCTGACAGCAAATGCAGAATGGTTGGATCAATTCATAGACGAGCTTGTAGTTCGAGTGAGTAATTACTTTAATTGGTTATAATTTTGTTTTTTAAAACTAGTATTTTCTTGAATTTAAGGTGAGCTATATTTTGCAACGGAAATGACAATGCGGGCTGAAGGTAATAAAGAATTGGCGAATGTTTTGAAATCTGGTACAATTTCAAAAATATCAAATGAACAGGCATTGGTAATTTTTACTAATGCTATGTTTTCAAAACGAAAATATAACATCATCCGTGAAACACCAAAGATCGTGTACCCATCGTACAAATCAATATCAGCAGCTAAAAAACTGTGCTACCCTCCTGAAACTTATTTTGATACATCAAAAGTTCGCTGTACAGTTGATTTGCAGGAAGTCCTTAATCGCACTGCTTCTAGATTGTCCATACTTTTCGAAACAGAAATCATTTCTTCGCCTCAAAAGGGTTGCACGCGTTTTCACCTCTATGTGAAATGGGATCTTGACGAACATGCCTGAGTACAATCAGAAATTCTCATGTAACACTACATGAGAATTTCTGATTATACTCAGGCATGTTCGTCAATTTTTTGTCATTAATTGTTCCACTGAGAATATTCGGAGAGGAATGTTTGATTTGGGACAACAATTTTCCTCCACTCGGTATTGCCGTCCAATCGCGATATATTTGGCCAAGGAAACTCCAGAGCAAACAACGGAAGAGTATGAGCGCATGATTGGCGCAATTAAACAGCTCAAATTAAAAGTGTGAGAATACGTGATTAGTATCGAATATAAACTCTCAATGACTATGATTGACACTAAAACCATTAATGCCATTACGCTGACTTCATCTTTACATCGATGTTACCTGTGAAAAGCCAAATTTCAATGATATTGAAAACATTGTGAAAAAACCTATTGAAACTGCCTACTTAAAATTTGGAATCATTAGTCTACACTGCAGGATTCGTTGCTTTGAATGTTTATTGCATATCGCCTACAGGCTCAGCTTTTGCAAGTGGGTAAAATCAGGTCATATGTAAGAATATAATCGCAACAAGAATCGCATTCAGACAGAGTTCTTCAGTAAACTTGGCCTGCACGTTGATATACCTTGTCCTGGTTTTGGCACAAGCAACACTGGCAACACCGCCAGGCGTTTTTTTTTAAATGCGGAAATATCTTCGGCAATCACCCATATCGACTTGAATTTGATAATAAGATTTCGGACCTTGTCAAAAGCTTTTTCAAGTGGAGAATCCATTGATTCTGAAAAGTTTACGAAATATGCCACAAACACACAAACATGAGCCGTCTGTACGTCCAACTTCATGACTGGAACCACATGCCGACATCGGTCCATAAGTAGTTGATTCACGGACATTAGATAATTCACGAAGCATCAGTACCGATTGGTTAGCTTTCAGAGGAAGCTCAAGAAATTATGAATAAGGAGCTTCGGAGAATTCGCAATGACAATGCCTAGAAAGCATCATGAGAAAAACGCTACGAATTCGTTATAAATTTTTGATGAGAAAAATTATAGTAAGCCTGAATTCGAGGCCAGCTATGAGAGCGATGACAGTTGAATGACGATGAATGAAGCAAATTAATTTGGTTTGAGAGTAAATATACGTATTTGAGGATAATAACTCTATCTTTTTATCTAAGATATATCTGATTTATCTTGAGGTAATACACAATTTTCATCGTCACACATCATCTCTATGAAAAGTGGACCAACAAAAATCAAAGCATCGCACGATGCATCGCAAAATCCTTTTGTGCTACGAACTACCATGCGTCTCCAATGTTTTTTTTTTTGAAAAATCGTCTTCAAAGTTTTTTTTTTGAAAAATTATACCTTGGGGCAAAAAGGGGCAAAACAACATGTACATTTCCAAAAAGTTCAATAATTTTCCATCATTGTGAGCTACAAGCGATCTTTTCGAACTGTTTCAAAACATTTACAAGCTCCTTAAACATTAAGATTTGCAATTTTCTGCATGCCTTATCATTTATTATCGAATGTAGGAAAGAGAAGGAATACTTGTATGGGATAAATCGAATGGCAAACATAAGCTGTATGGAAACCCTTCAAATTAAAACCATTTTGACCCAGATCGGAAATTTAGCTGAAAAGATATATTCATATCAATGACAGAGGTTTGCTCTTGTTTTTTTATGCAAATTATCACAGAATTTCCCGACCTCCTCACCTTAGAATAGCTGCTCAAAAAATTATTTTCTTTATAATGTTGTGATATTGTGGGAAAACATTATTCAATATGTATATAAAAATAAAAAAAATCAAGCCATTGAAAACCAATAAACAATTTTTTTGATTAAAGTCCAGCTTGGCGCCATTGTGCGCCGTGACGGCAGTAGTAGCTACCTACGGACGAAAGTAGACTAAATTAGGGTGCAGTGTTCAACAGGCACCGTTGATGGGTTTATTTTGCACGCACTTTTCAGAATGATAGTACATGAAATTAGTCGTGAAATATGATACCTTTCAATATGTGTCATCAAACATATGGAAAAAAAGAAAATTCTAGCGAAACGCGTTTTTTGCAAAATTGAACGGTGATGTTATCAAATCCCACTGAGACACATTACACAGGAATACCCCGAATAGTGCGGTGGGTGGTGCGGTCCAGTGACCACTATTTCGGCTCTCCTACAACCAATTGAGCTGACTGTGTGTGTGTGATTAGTGTCAAATAGAGAGGGTCTTGTATAAGAGAGGACCGGATTAAAAAAAAAACTGCCTTGGCAACCTATGTCTAGGTGGTTTCTAGCAACACGGCCAATGCAATCAAGATAAGCGCTGCTCGACTGGCTCTGGCTTTGACAGTTCGTTTGGCTCAAAACCAGCTAAGCCGCTCCACACCGCTCTACTAGTCAACCATGTACTAGTCACCAGCCAGCAAATCAGCTCAATTGGTGGGAGGACAGCCGAGAAATAGCGGTGGATGGACCGCACTATTTGGGGGATTCCTGTATTATATATTTGATGAAATAAGCTGACGGTAACTGTAGCACAAGCCCGTGTTGATTATTGCGAATTTGAAACTAAGCAGTTAACGTACATAATAATAATAATTATAATTTGAGCAAGTTGCACAAATTCATCTTCTTGTTCTTTTTCTTCGCATTTCAAGCTTAATGTTTATCGCATTTTATCTTATTGGGTGCTGTCAACTTAGTGTTCTAAGCGCACTTCCACAGCTATTAATTGAGAGCTTTCGATGAATGTACCATTTTTGCATTAGCATATAAGGGTGTCCCAAAATGTCTAAGCACGACTTTGGAACACCCCTGCTTGTTTCAGATGACGTTTAAACATCTGATTATCACGCTGAATCATTGTTTACATTTCGACCAACAGTTTCGTGTATCGCAAGTGTCGTTTCTTCACATTTCCGTAACGCAAACAGATCGGAAAAGTGCAAACAGATCGTGCACAAATAATGTACTATCCCCAACATTTATTTGAGTCAATTAGCGAAATTGGAAGGTTGTAAGCATCGGATCCGTTCGAAACACGATTCGGAAGTATGGTAATGGAGCTACTTTCCAGGACAAGCAAAAATCTGGACATAAACCGAAATCTGGACCGGAAAATCGTTCAAGCTTTCACTCGCAAGAAAAGTGCTTCGGTTCGAAACGTGGCTAAAAAAGTGGGATCCTCGAAGAGTAATGTCCAGCAGGCCATGGCAAGAATGAGTCTACAGACGTATAAGAAGCAGAAGAAGCCAGAGCGGAGTGAAAACCAAGCCGCATCCGTCAAACCGAGGGCTCGGAAGTTATACGACCAATTTCTGTGCAGAAAATCGGTGGTTGAATCATACGTTAAATTTGATAACAAAACTCTTCCTTGTGATACACCGTTCGTGATGGCGACGCGGATAAGTCAATTTTTACCGAAAATTTCTTTAAAAATGCTATGGTTTGGCAAGCCTTTTGTGAGTGTGGTATGCTTTCCAAAACCGTTTGTGACAACGGATACAATGACAACCAATGTTTACGTGCGTGAGTATTTAAACAAGCGTCTGTTACTCATGATACGCAAACACGGCGCCTCAGTACTGTTTAAAGCCGGATTTGGCGTCGGTTCATTACTGCAAGGACACGGTAGCCTGGTATAAAGCCAACAAGGTCCAATTCGTACCCAAGGAGCTGGCATTCGAAGGTAATAACACTCTAACTTGCGATTGTAGAATAATGTATATTTCAGTTTCAGTTAGTTTTTAACCAATTGCGCAGATAGAATTCAATATTGTTTATGCTGAATTCTTCCTAAGTCCTATGTTGATATATTGCTTCCTGTTGTTTGCATCTGTTGAGCTTATTGCATTTGGTATTTCTTAGGAATGTTTATTTGAGATCCGGTGGAAATTCTTTGAATACATTAATGTCATTTTGATTTACAAGTTTGTTTTTCGTTTATGTTGCGCATCGAAATTTTGAACGGAAATGATTGCGTCTTAATCAAACTGTTTTTCAATTGGTTTGCACATCCACGACACCAGGCTAGGCCAACCGAAACTTTTTGGGCCCTAACGAAAGCATACTTGCGAAAACATGTGAAAGCAGTGGATTCCGCTACAAAGTTTGCGAAAGGCTGGGGAAAAGTATCCAAAATTGTTGGAAAGGCATCTGTGCTGAAGCTAATGAGTAGCGTGAGATCAAAAATCCGCTCCTTGGCTGATCGGTTTTCGAATTTTCGATGTTTAACTGTAAGATAATACTATAGAGAACATGAATACGAAATAGAAATCGAATTTGCTGTAAACAGAGTTACGTTATCGTTAATCGTCCTTAGACATTCTGGACCACTCTAAAATTGTGTAGCATGAACACCTTTGACTCTCCTTTCTCTTATTTTTCACCTATGCATCTACGCCTCTATGTTAAGAATCAACTTAGCCCTCATTTATTTTCGGCAGACTTCAATCGACTCACATATTGTTTTAGACGTTATGGTTCTGATTATCTGATTATTATAATACATATTAATATATATTAAAAACTCGGGATGCAGAGGGACCATCAGGGCACCCAATTGAAGCGATTTGGATGGGGAGAGTGAAGATGTCAACTCCCTGTTGCTAATATTTCGTTGATAAAGTCCGGGTTCTTCTCTCCATTCATTGGTGCATCTTCCTGTTGGATTGCTCTTTTTCTGACCAATTGGCTGCTCAAGCTGTTGGAAGGAGATTATTAACTGTCCCAAGCAAATAAATTGACGAATTGCCAATCAATCCATCCATTCGTTTTTGGCCCTTCATACAGCGTTTTGCTGATGTCAATCAGAGGTTATTAACCTTGATCAAGTTCAACAGTGAGGAGAGCCCACAGTTATCGGAGTAGTTTCCGTGCTACAATGAGTGGTAGGTCAGTATAATTGTGTGACAGGTACTATCATACTCTATGCGCAGGGAATCAAACCACCAGCCACCTGCAGCATGGTCTTACATTGTAGCTGTGCCCTTACCGACTGAGCTAAAGGAGGCACAAATTCGTAGGTGGTACAAGACCTAGACCATGTAGAGAGCTCTACGACCTCTCATAAGTGTCACAGGAGTTTGGAGGTTTGTTAGTGGGGAGGGTAAAGCCATAGGATACGTTCCGTAAACGTTTCTGGAAGATTTATAAAAGCAATGGGCATAATGAAAAATTGCAAGGAAGCAGATTGGCGGAAATATGTCGTCAACGAAAATAGTTATAAAAGTTGGATAAATGCCTATAAACATCCCCTGGCAAAGAAAAAAATTTCGTCTTTCTTGGTAAAATTTCATATGGAAATTTTACTTTCACAGTATGGGGGAAATCACTTTTGTAGGTTTTGAAGATAATGATTACTTTTTGGAGTAGTGAAACCAGGCATGGAAAATCATTTGCATTCATTTCGTGCATTGATTTACATTCATTTGTCCCTAACTTTTTTCATCAACAGAATTTCGTAAAAAAAAATGTATGGAGTTTTAATAGGCTTTGTCATTAGCTACAACTTTTGTTAACAACTCAAATCCGTATCTCTTATGCATGACAAAACAGAGCGAACAGAAGTCACTACTGTTTTCAGTGAATGTATTTTACATTCACTGAAAAACAGTAGCAAGTTCTGCTCGCTCTAGCTAATAACAAAACCTACAAAAGCTCTATACACTATTTTGCGGAATGTTGTTGATGAAAAAAGTTAGAGGCAAATGAATGTCACTGAATTCATGAAATGAATGGAAATGATTTTCCATGCCTGAGTGAAACTATCCTGAAAATGTTTGCTGAAGACAGCACTCCAATTAGCATTAGCATTAGCAACGAACAAGCTGTACAATATCGTAGGTGGTACGAATTCTAAACTATTAAGAGCACAACGGATATCTATCACTGAACAGATAATAAATAGTAGGAAATAATTACTCTCTCCCAGATAAAGACATATCCCGCTCCAACAGTTAAGAATTGTCCTGGCCACGTCCTTACAACTGATAGGGATAGGAAAAGTATGTTAGTCCAACATTTACTTAAGAGAGATGCAGAGAACTCTACGACCCCTCATAAATGTATCGGGAATTGAGGAATTATGTTAGACGGGAAGGTAAACCATACACCCATACACCCACAACCAGTCAGTAGTTGTAGACATATGTTGAAATTTCTGTCCAGAGCGTCTGCTGAAAGATAAGGTTGCTAAAATAAAATGAAGATGCAATATGGTGAACTCACTATCGTTGGCACACCCCTAGCTAATTAAAAGGAAGGAAATATTTTGTATTTTATCATTTTTTTAAAATTTATTTAGGGGAAAAACCTGCGGGAGTGAAAATAGATTTACTACCTCTTCTTCCGTAGGCATAAAATCTCTATGTTTTTTCAACTTGAATCATAATCATTTACAAATGTCAACAATAAATCTGTTCGGATGGTTTAAAGAGAAAAATCTCTGCAGCAGACACCGTTTCCCGATGAGACAAAAGCTCACAGCTGTAATTAATTATTTGTAATAAACAATGCAAAACAATATAAGAGCTAACTTACATCAGTCTTCTTCTTAATAAAATTTAAAAGCTACTCTGCTTCACTTCCTTGGAACCCAACGGGACAATTTTGTAGCAGAGCAGAACCTAAATCGCACAGCATAATATAATTTCAACCTGACGAAGAATAATTCCGTCTTACCTCTACAAAAATTTCCTAATTCTTCGGAAAAATTAACTGCAGTGAACTCCAAACTGCCTATCCAATAACTATTCTTTCTTCTACTGTTCACTTCGCCGTTGACGTTTCTCGGCCGACGAGTAGGAACGCACTTAGCTCCAAAGGTGTGAGTGAAGTGCTGCAGTGATGCCAGAACATCCCCCGCCCCGTGGATCCTCGGGGGATCCTTCAGGATTCACATAGGATTCACCACCACCGACATCCATTACCGCCAGTTTGACGACCGGTCGCTTCAGTTCCTTACCTTACCGCTGTTCGCACCACCGCCTGCCATACTCTGCCGTCGCTCCCAACAATCACCTGGACTACTTTCGCACGGATCCAGGTTCTCTGGTTACCCTCGGCTACGTAGACCAAATCTCCAACCTTCACCGCTTTGCTTTCTTCGAACCATTTGGATCGTCTGTTCAGGGTTGGGAAGTACTCCTGTAGCCAACGGTTCAATTATGCTTCCGACAGGAATTGTGACCTCTGGTAGCTACTCTTCAACGCTTCCGCCAAGTTCGTCGGAATTCTCAACGGATCTTGAGCATTATACGAATTCCCCAGAAGGAAATGATTCGGCGCGAGCGCTTCGCCATTCGCCGAAGTTTGAGGCATATAGGTTAGCGGACGAGAATTGACGAATCCTTCTGCCTCAGCCAGCACCGTCAGCAATATTTCGTCATTGAGCTTACGTCCATCGTCAAGCGCCCGCATCGCCTCCTTGACACTCCTCACCATTCGTTCCCATGTGGGGTGCAGACGGCGGAATGAACTACCACTTAATGTGTGCATCCGTAAACGTATCGGCACACTCGTTGTTGATGTTCTTGATCCGCTCGACCAACTTGTTAATAGCACCGACGAAGTTAGTGCCGTTGTCCGAAAAGATCTCCACCGCTGAACCTCGCCTGCGGATGAACCTTCGGATGGCCATGATGCACGAGTCGGTAGACAAGTTGTGGGCCACCTCCAGATGGACGGCTCGGATGACCAGACACGTTGAAGACGACCACGTAAAGTTTCTCTCGGCGACGTCCAACGGCCACTTCTAGCGGTCCCAGGTAGTCTACACATACGTGTCACCTTGCAACGCTTCTCATCACTTTGTCCACTGATGACCTTAAGTTGGGGATGTGGAATCACTGGCGAACTTCGTTGACAACCGTCTCTCGGTTGGCGTGTCCGTGCCGGCAATGGTAGTCGTTCAGCACCAACTTCGTGATCGGATGATCTTTCGGCAATATCACTGGGAACCGAGCATTTGCTGTCCGACCTTCCACCCTGATGACACCGAGCTCATCGGCAAACGGAGATAACCTGTACAGAGGGCTGCATTTTTCGACACTCACCCATTTGTCCGGCCGTGGATCATCTCGGTTGTTCTATAGGGCCCTGGTTTCGTCTGGGTAGTTATCGTTCTGCGCCACTCGCCACAACAACCGTTCTGCTTGGTGATACTCGTGCTGTCGTAGAGGAACGACTTCCACTGGTATTGCTCGTCGTATAAGTGCTGAAGACAGTACTCCATTTGAACATTAAATAAGAAAGTTAGTCAATTTAGAAGACATGCTAATTTACTTCGCACTATGTGAAGTCTGGAAGAGAGATTGTACAGTAACCCCTCCATATATGCGGAGGGTGGTATCGTCCACCCACCGCTATTTCTCGGCTGTTCTTCAACCAATTGAGCTGATTTTCTGTAGATAAATAGTTTTTGGGTGACACTAATCACATACAAAAAAACAGCGTAATCGGTTGAAGGACAGCTGAAAAACAGCGGTGAGTGTACGGTACCATTCACCGCATATATGGAAGGAGCATACTGTGATAAGGTGATAGAATAACATACACTGTAAAATTTCACTTATTTTCTATTAGGAACGCACATAATATTTTTCCAATAACAAAAATTACGATTTTTATCTGAATAGGGTAGAGCACTACTTCGTCGTAATCGCCTATTTTCGTTCTATCGATCAGAAAAGATCAATAATATAAATGATTTTACCTTGCACAAATCAATAATAGGTTTGTTCCGATGCGTTAGTTAATCCTGTTAGAGCGCATTGTATGAATATTTACGCTCCGTAGGACGAAGAAAATCTAATGGCGTTTCAATGTGTTAGGACGAAATTGAAACTCGTAGAACGAATTTAGAACCAAGAAGCAGTATTAGATTTTAAACAATATCTCAACAATTTGTGACTCTGAACTGGAAAGGTGAATACATTTAGAAGTCATCTTTGACAGAAATATTCCATTTTTTTGTTAAAACTCGATCAGACAAGAGAGGTAAAGCGCAGGTTGTGCTTAGTAGGACGGAAATTAGATCGAAACCCCTAACTATCACATAACATAAGAAATTCTATGTTAGGCATCAAATAAATTTAATAACGTTCATGTGATTTAGTGGTGCAATTTCCAATTATAGGAGCATATAAAAGTTATGTGAAATTTACATGGATAGTTTCCACTAGTTATGTGATTTATTTTATGAATGTATGGGATTTGGGATTACAGGCTTACCATACAATATCTCCATATCATAGCCACATACAAACTTGTAGTTGCCAGCAAAGTTGTTCAGGAGCCGGTATGATTGGTGGACACATTATTTCAGAATTCTTCCATAACGTGGCGCTATTATACATGTAAATATACTGCATCTGCTATAACATGAGATATTGTCCATGTATAAAGTTTCTGTCTTCGGCAAAGTTGATCATGTGACCAAGATTGTTTGGTTGGTGAACAGATAAGTTCAAAATTTACTCACATCTTTAGCTCCTGAAAGTGCTGTATTATATCACGAGATCCTGCCTAGCTATGTTTTTTATAGTCGCTTTAACGCTCTTGGGTCATTCGTGACTTGTCTGGGGGTGAGATTTGTACTCGTGACTTTGTCGTGAGAGGTATAGGTATATATGAATTCAAACCACAACGCCGGGGTCGCCCCATCTACGAAATTTCTGTCTTCGTTAAAGTTGCTCAGATGATCAAACCCTTCCGAAAGTTTAACAGATCAGCTCAGAATTCACTCACCACGTGGCGCTAGTCATCTGCTGTATTATATTACGGTACCATCTTTACAACAGAGTCTTGCACAGCTAATGCACTGATTTACTTTGTTTAGCAACTTGACACTGAGTGGTGATTACCATGTAAGACACAGTTGCCAGGCCTAGCGTAAGAACAGTCAGCTGTCGCACAGTGGTCTAGAACTGTGAAAAGACGGTCAAAAGTAATTATCTCGTGAATCTGGCATTTTAGACTAGTAATGTTTATGGAAAAGTTTCTGGATATGAAAAACTTCTTCTTTTGACATTGACAGATTAATGATTAATAATAAAATTTATTTTTTCAACAATTTTATATTCATGATGGGTGCCTTCGGCAAAATTTTAGAAAATATCAACACAAGACAATAGGTGTCTATTTCTTCATCTCTTTGAAATATGGAATGTTTTTCGTGGAAAGGCCCTTAATATAAGTTTTTACTTTATAATAATTTTCTATAAACTTCTACTGGTTTGAAATGTTCTTCACAGTTGTTCAAAACATCAATACACATTCATACATACTAGATCGCAAAATATTTGCGTAATTATTGATTTTGCGGAATAAATATATTTTTTGCCACCTAATTACGATTTATTACCATCTCCCACGACATCCCACGACAAAATCAATAGGAATTGAACTTGATAATCGACCGATTTTCATTTATCATATAGCGACCGTATGACAATATGCGTCGGATGCCTTGTCAGCAGTGTTGGTAGTTACCTGATATACCATTTGCTTCATAACATTAGGGCAGTATCACTGCACCAAACCGTGGGATGTAAGATTCGCTTACAATTATGTGGGATTCATCATCAGAGGATCTACCATGTTATACATAAAAATCAATGCAAATGCTTTCTTTTGTAGGTGAAAGCATAGACAGAGCACGGAATAAAAAAAAAAAGATTAAAACCATTGCATCGTCTGCGAGGTCAACTTCTAACATTCACTGTGATGTTCCTGAACAGAGGATGATAAGAAACGGAACTAACATTAATTGTAACATTTTTTTTAGTTTGCCTGGAGTTCCACCAAACTGAAGATCAGACGAAGAACCAGCAGGCTACGTAAGATCCATCAGATGTCAGATACTGAACCTGCGCACAGAGGGACCATTCTGAAGAACGAAAGTCAAAACCTCTTTCTCACCTTTTCCAATGTTTTAACGCCTAGGTGTCTTCAAATAACTTTATTGAAATGAAATTCTACTTTTTTTTAAATACGCACTTGAACTTTTATTCAGGTGGTATTACACTTAGATAAACTAACTCTTTGTAATTATGAGAGCAGTTTCCAGGCCAAATAGTGAACAAAAATATAATGCTTGTCACAACCTTTTCATGATTATTGGTTATGGCAATTATTAATATTTCTGTAAACATTCGGCCATTTCGGATCTAGTATTTTTCTTCAAAATAGCATCTTTGGAATTTTTCAATAAATGGTATCACGAAAACGTCACTTTTGATCGAAATGACGTTTGAGACAAAATTGTAGAATTCTTTCTAGGAAAAATATACACGGAATGTTTGCCGTGTATCTGAAAATGACCATGATTAATATTTAATATTAATATTAATATTTTGGTAATTTTTTTTTTTAATCTTTTTCATAATTGGGGAGCTGTGGGCAAGAAAGTTGATTGATTGACGGCTCAACTATTGAATTGTTGGGTTTTTATTACATCCAGCATGAGAAAATCGTTTCGTTTTGCATTTACTACTCACTCAAACGCTTACAATGTCAGAAACGAGCAGTAGCATGTGCGAGCGGCACTGATTTCATTTGTATTCTCATGGCTTATAATTTCATTGATGAACGCAGAATTGAGCAAAACATACAGCTGAGCGTAGCACTCACTTTTTTTTTGCATGCTGAGCCTTTTACGATTGCATTCTGCTGAGTGAGCTGAGTGAGAATTTTGCAGAAAAAAATATTTTTTATGTTGTAGCTTTAAACATAAATTGACACATTTAAATTGGTATTTACACGAAAAAAAGTATTATACTGTAACACATAAACGTAAACGTCACGCAAATACTATAAAACTGCTGTGGCCAATTAAACTGATTTAAATCCCTGAGCCAAAATACATATCACCCGGTTATTTGAATCGTTAACGTTCGGTTTTTACCCATTCTATCAGGTTTTCCGTCAGTACGGAAAATTTTTTGACTGCTTTTTACACGGCCAATGAGATCAACCCACATTTAAGTTCAGTTT